AGATCAGGTGTTTGTTTGTTTTTAAGATTTTATTTATTTATTTAACAGAGACACAGCAAGAGAGGGAACACAAGCAGGGGGAGTGGGAGAGGGAGAAGCAGGCTTCCTGTGTAGGAGGAGCCTGATGCGGGGCTCGATCCCAGGACCCTGGGATTATGACCTGAGCCAAGATCAAGAGTCAGACCCTCAAAGTCTCAACCAACTGAGCCACCCAGGGGCCCAGCCCTGACTATATTTTTCAAAAAAAGCTTGTAGTACTGGGGCGCCTGGGTGGCTCAGTCGTTGGGCGTCTGCCTTCAGCTCGGGTGATGGTCCCGGGGTCTTGGGATCGAGCCCTGCATCGGGCTCCCCGCTCTGCGGGAAGCCTGCTTCTCCCTCTCCCACTCCCCCTGCTTGTGTTCCCTCTCTCACTGTGTCTCTCTCCGTCAAATAAATAAAAATCAAATGTTAAAAAAAGAAAAAAAAGCTTGTAGTACTAAGTATATGCTACACAGTGTGCTCAGCACTTTTCAGTCTTTGGTCTAGTTAAATCTACCTTTTCCACATAATCCTATTCCACATCTCTTCACGTCCATAGCCACCACTTTACTTTCACTAACTTACAGTATTGGTTCTTTCTAGGACAACTGCACGTCTCCTCTCTCTTGCTTCCAGTCTTGCCCCCTTCCAATTCATTTACCATTTCTTCTAGAATATTTCTGGAAGCCCAGTAGGATTACATTACTCCCCTGCTTAAAGACAGGTATCCCCTCTCTGTAGAGTAGCGCTTCCCATCTCGTGTGCGATGCCGCAGTTCCCTGGGCGCCAGCACGTCGATGAACTCAGCTACTGAGGCGGCCAAGCCGGACCGCGATAGCGGAAGCCCTCGGCCGGGTCTCTTCTGCAGGGCAGTGTGCATGCGAACATTGTTTATGAGCTTACATTGAAAATGGAGAAGCACACTGCCTTTTAACGTCTAAGGTCCTTGAACACTCCAGCAATTGTGTGCTTCTCCTCTTGGCCCCAGCTACACCACACCCACGTTCCCCCCCGCGCAGTGTTCCGCGCTGTCGCACGCCATCTGCTTCGCGCTCGTTCCGTCTACTACCGCCTCCGCAAGGACGTGACCTCTAAGTCGCCCCCCCCCAAGGCCCTCGAATGTACGAGGGTTACTTCCTGCAGGGGCTTCTGCTGCACTGTAAGTTCTGTCCTTCTCACCGCACTGGAAGGCGAAGAGTGCCTCTTCTATCTATCTGGCTTACTCCCGTTTTTGAGCCATAGAGACTGGCACATATATGCACCGATCTATGTGTACTTGATGGACGGGCCAACTTCTGTTTTCTTCGCCACTGAAACTCACACGGTACTTCCCTCTGTTCCGCAACAGTCTGTGCGGGACACGTGACCCTATTTTAGGGGGATAAGCCTTTCACGGCACAATACGCAAGACCGTGGCCGTTACCATAGGAGACCCGCGGAGGGAACAGACCACCTGCCGGCCTCAAGGCCGCGTCCATACGGCGAGCCTCCCCGCGGCTACACCGCGTCCGCTAACCCCCGCGAGCGCCGACACGGGGGCGCCCGGATCCCGGGGACCCACGCGAGGGAGAACAGCCGAGCCCAGCGGTGGAGCTGCCCGCGGAGCGAGCGCCAGTCTCCCGTCCAACCCCGCGACGGCCGCCCGGAAGTACGTCACGACGCCCGGGCGCGCCTCCTCGCCGCCTCTCTAGGAAGCCTAGAGGACCCGTCATCTCCGTGGTGGGTCGGCTCCCACCTCCAGCCGACCCTTGCGAGCACGGCCGCCCGTGAACGCCTCACGCAGGCGGTCCGCCGGGCGGGGCCCCACTCCGCCGGGGCCCCCAGCTCTCCACCCCCCGAGGACACCTGTCGGCTCTCACGGGCGCTGCGATGCCCTCCGTTCCGCGGGCCCAGCCCGCAGGGTCCCTGCAGACCCCCCTTGTGCAGATCCCACGGTCCCCTGGGCCCGCAGGGGCAGAAGCGCAGTCAGCACCGCCCTAAGCACAGCGGCACGTGGGCTTGCTCTCCACTGTCCCAAGTCCTGTCCTTGGGGTAACGGAACCAAAGATCCCCGCGGTGCTGGCTCAGCAGGAAGCGGAGGAAACGCAGTGCTGCCGACACGGGGGCAGGGCCGGCTGCGGCGGTCACAGGGCTCCAGTTCCACAGCCGGTCAAGTGCACGGGTCTGGTCCCCACCCACCCTAGCTTCTTGCTTAAGAGGGCTCACCGTCTGTCTTCTTCCGGCCAGTTCTCTTCTCATGCCCTACACTCCCACTTTCCTCCACAGTTGACGCTAGTTCACCAGCTCCTATACCCGGAGATGCTCCTTACGCCTGAGAGGTGATCCGTCTTGCCTGGTAAACCATGATCTCCACAGGCTCACATTCGGTAACTAGCTATCTTAACAGTGTTTTTACTGTTGTTGTTTTCGGGGGATCCTTTTCAGGGGCATGTGGTTTTTGTAGGCATACCCACCCTTTCCTACCTAATCCAATAGATGTGTTAACAGGAATTATTTCAAACCAGGAAGGTGGTGGCTACACCTCCATCTCCCATAGCCTCCTTCATAGATGTTCGGCCTTAGCTTTCAGGAGCACATTGTATTCTTTCTGATTCTATCTCATCTTCTATCTCCTCAGCTGGAAATGTCCAAACTGGGAAAACCACCCATCCTGTCATACCTCTTGTCTGAGTGTAATTATTAATACCAATCCCTTTCATTCTCAAATGTCCCAGATTGGGCAATAATTTATATATAGTTACCTTATGTCTGAGAACCACTGATAAGCTAGCTAAAATGCAGATTCCCAGGTCCTGCCCTCAGAAACATTCAGCCAGTCTGGGGTAGTGCCCAGGAAACTGTGGAGTTCAAACAGCGCAGGTGATTCTAACACAGGTATATATTCAGAAATAGTGGCTTCATCACAGAGCAGAGACGTTCACATGGAAAACTGGGTGTGGCTCCAGAGAGACCTGAAAACAAAAATCAGTGATTTTATACACTGTGCTCTTCTCCTTCTTTTTATGTAAAGCACTGAAATGGGTGAGGAGTGAAGAGCAGTGGGACTGTTTTCACTGCTAAGACACATGGACTAATTGAGAGAGAGCGATCTCTAGTAATAGCTATTATAAAGATAAAGCACATTTCTTGGTAACACTGTCTCTGTATCTTTTTATTTTTCCTTCTCTTTGGTCACCATTTGTTGGTCTAATCCAGTTTTAACATGTAATTTTGCCTGTCTGAGTCCTTTTTATGTTCTCACATTTTGTTCTTCCCTTTTCTCTTTCCCTCCTATTTTGTTGTTGCTGTTGCTGCTTGGAGATGCCTAAAATGTGTCCCAGGCTCCAAGTGTAAGTGTCTGTGAAACTACATATAATTCACAATGATCTCTGTTCATAGTTTTGTTCTTAAAAATGTTAATGCAATTAAAAATAGATCACTACAAGTGCTTAACGACTTTGGGCTTCACTTTTCTCATGTAGGTATGAAATGGGTAAATTCAAAATTTCTTCCTAAAGCTAACATTCTCTGATTCTGTGTTAAAAAGTCCCTATACCACAACAAAATACTTTCAATGATCCCATTATGCTTACCAAACAAAGACCAAACACACAGGAAAGTGTTCAAGGACCTCTCAATCTGGCCCCCACTCCTGCGCTTCCTTGTAAGAGCTCCGTGACCTGCCAAACTGGAAAACGCAGGGCTCTTGAGCATATCTGTTGGGCCTTCCTCACCCTGTTCCCTCTGCCTAAAATACTTTACTCTATCCTCCATCTCCTTCTACAAATAATCTACTTTTCTCTCAACTTCCAACTCAACATTTAACCAATTATACATATGTATACTGGTATAGATTTTATATTTCAAAATTGCTCCTGAGAAAGTACTTCATATTTTATAATTTTGACTTTAGATATACTTTTTTAAAGATTTTTTTTTTTAAAGATTTATTTATTTGACAGAGAGAGACAGTGAGAGCAGGAACACAAGCAGGGGGAATGGGAGAGGGAGAAGCAGGCTTCCCGCTGAGCAGGGAGCCCGATGTGGGACTCGATCCCAGGACCCTGGGATCATGACCTGAGCCGAAGGCAGACACTTAATGACTGAGCCACCCAGTCGCCCTAAAGATTTTTTTTTTGAGAAAGTGAGCAAGCACGAGTGGGGGTAGGGGCCAAGGGAGAGGAAGAGCAGGAAGCTGAGCAAGGAGCCCAAATGGGGCTCGATCCTGGGACCCTGGGATCATGACCTGAGCTGAAGGCAGATGCTTAATCGACTGTGCCACCCAGGTGCCTGGACTTTAGATATACTTTTATTTTAAAATATCCTCAGAGATAACTTTTGTCTTACATAGGAAAAATATAAAACAATCTTCCACTATAAATTATGTTTTTTAAAGGAAAAGTATTGTCACATATAGAAAATAGGAGTCACTTCCAAATACAAGATGTGGACAGAGACTTGGTTCTCCTTTAGTCCTGACTTCAAATAAAAATTACAGTGAAAGAGAGTCTTCAGGGCTCTTATCCACAGCTCCAGACAGGTGTTGTTTGCAAATTGTCAGCCATTTCTTAACATACGGTGTCCAATCTCCTAACAGTGCTCAGAGGGGTGCTGGGCTATCCCTCAAGAACCAATAAGGCATTTTAATTGGATTTGAGTTAATATTTCTTACACCTTGCTGGGCTGTAAAACTGACTACTCTTTCAGATTGGACTTTTGAAGGCACGGGGAGGGATGGTTACTGGTTTACAAGCACCTGAAAGGAGATCACTGCCAGAGACTTCATGGGTTGAGTGAGAACAGCCAGGGCGGAAACAGAAGAGAGAAGTGGGGGTAATGCAGGAATGTAAAAGGGAAACAACTGAGACAGAAAGAGCGCGAGGCCCTTGCAGGCCGCTGCCCACAGGGCACAGCACACGTCAGTGCACTGCTGACGGCGGACGTGCACCCCAGGTAAGAGGGTTAGCATAAGCGAATCAGAACAGTTAGCATCAGAGAACAAGTAGTTTGGTGAACCGTAAGTCATTTAATCATGTTAACCATCACTGCATTCTAAGTGGTATACGTCTCTACAGCATATATAACATCTTTTGTTTCTTGGTATTTCATCAGTTGTTAAGAAAATTTAGAATTTTGAGAAGCTGTGAACAAAACAAAACAAAACGACAAGCACAAAACAAACCAAACATCCAATATTCAACTGCAGGTGTAAAAACAGTCCATTAGAAATACATCCTTTAAAATCCTGATCTGTTATATTTTAAATCTTTGAAGAGCTCATATAATAGAATTATCCAAACATGCTGCTTCGGCATATGCAGAGGCATTTGAGATACTTACGAACTCAGATTATAATAGTATATGTATTATATTATTATATGGAATATATATTTACCGGAGAAGTTGATTTTATTTCAAACTTAAGTCTACTATATTTTTCTCACTTTAAAATCCGTATGTATTTCTTTTGGAAATAATTTAACCTCAAGACACACTAAAATACACTCTTGAGAAAATTTAAGATTTTTGATTAGACCTATAATTAGCCACAAATGGCAACAGAAATGGTTTGATATGTTATGACTAAGGATATATAATGGAGCCAAATACACGAGACTGAAAACCACCCCCATCATTTCTGCATTTCTCTGTAGAAGAATTAGGTGCAACTATAGTGGCCCAAGCTCTGTTTCCTAGCTCATGTGGAAGTTGTTATTTTAAACAGAGTTTGGCTTGAACCACATTCGGGAAAAATGAAACAGTCTGTGACCTTTTAAAGTAGTGACTGTGCATCTATGGGAGTGTGTTAAAAACTGTGGGGCACCAACAAATGAAATACTGTCCACTTGTAAACAGAACGAGGAGGCTCTGTTACTCTAAGGACTGTACTGTTTCACGAACACAGCAAGGTGTAGAAAAGTGCCAACAGTAGGCCATCTTTCTGTATAATAGAGGAAATAAGGTGATACAGAGTCACATTTTCTTGTATTTACATAAAGAAATACTGAAGATACATAAGATACTAGAAAAATGGCTACATATAAGGGAAAAGATAGGCTCCCTTTTTAATGTTGTTCTGATTCTTGAATTGGATGAAGAATGAGTTATCTTTCTTGAAAAGTCCCTCTAAGTAAATTAAAATTTAAAGGTTAAAAATAATCGGGTTGCCTGGCTGGCTCCGTCGATGGAGCATGCAGCTCTTGATCTTGGGGTTGTGAGTTTGAGCCCCACGCTGGGTGCAGAGATTACTTAAAAATAAAATAAAGTGCCCCAAATGAGGGATAAGTGGTAAGTCTTTCCTGAAACTCCAGTGTAAATTGAACAGAGGAGCTGTGCATTTATTGAAACACATGGATGGGAGGCTTTGTTGAGCTAAAAAGCAAAACCTCAGTACCCTCTAAATCTTTTAAGTTCAATATGCTAGTAATTTCTATTTGGAGATAAAATCCTTCCAGTGGCTTAGCAGAAAGAGCACTAGGAGTTAGAAGACAGGATTCTAGCTCCAGCTCCATTAACTAGCTGTCTGTATAATCCTACAGCTACTTCCCAGAGGCTCCGTTTCTGCATTAATCATGTAAGGGGACAGAGAAGTGATCTCTAAGGTCCCTTACAGTGTTTCTATTATTGTTAAGTGACCCGCTGTGTATTTGGTACTCGGATCCAGACTGTTGTCACCAGAGATTTTCCATTTCTTTGTGTCCTGGGCTTAGTATAAACACTCAATTACTGTTAAGGGAAAGAAGTTTTTTTTTAATACATAATCTTGGTGGTAATCAATAGGTAATACTGAGCAGCATGGAGCTTATAAAAAGCAATCAACATGGAAGACTGATCATAGTTTTCTACTTTTGTATGTGTTTGAAATTTTCCATAACTAAGAGTTAAAGCAAAAACTGAAAATGCTTTTAAGTCACAGGAAAAATGCAGAGGCCTATATTTTCCTAACGAAGATCCGAAGTGAGATATCAGATTTTTAGCTAAGTTTCCTGATCTGCACAAATTTAAAATCTTGAGCAGTATCTGCTACATCCAGCCACTGAGGTACTAGTAACACATGGCTGCTTCAATTTCTTGGATCCTAACTGGAGACTGAGTTACTGGAACTCTACAGAGTTCTCCTGTAGGGAAAAGCCTTTTGTGTATTTAAGGGAGGATTCATCTGCCCCTTGTTGTAGGTCAAAAAGGAATTATCATATCTTATGAAAACAGACAATAGTCAAATCGTTTACAGGTTTTACTGCAATTATTTTTAAATTAATTTTTAAATACTATTTAACATAATTTTGTGTTCAGGCAGCATATAATTTTATTTAAAAACTTTTTTAAAAAGTTTCTTAAACTTTAAGAAGTTTTCTTGAAGTACACCTAGAAAACTTCTTGCACAGATGTGTGTCAGACTGGAGACTATGTTGATAAAGTCAACACAACAAGATTCAGTACTGCAAAGCGTGGATGTTGTTGACCCCAGAGAACTTGACAGACGTACTTAAGATATAATGCTTCTCTCAGGATAAAAAATATGGACAATTTCACTGGCTCTACCTGGAGCTTCCTCAAGAGGATTAAACTATTTTTTACCATTACTTACTTCAGGGACAAAGAACCTACCCTGCGACCGCGCTAGTGGTCGGACGTCAGGAAAGGTTGCCCTACCTGTTCCAAGGGGCCGGCTGGACCCAGCACGGGGTGGATCTTCCGATGCTGAATGAGGTTGCAGTGGTAAATGAAGTTCTTGCCGCATTCCTCACATTCGTAAGGCCTCTCCCCGGTATGAATTCTCTGATGCTTAATGAGGACAGAACGTCGACTAAAGCTCTTACTGCACTGACCGCACTGGAAGGGCTTCTCCCCCGTGTGGATCCTGAGGTGATGGAAGAGCCCGGCATTCTGACTGAAGGCCTTGCCGCAGATGCTGCACTGGTAGCGCTTCTCCCCGGTGTGGAGTCTCTGGTGCTGGAACAGGCCTGACCGCTGGCTGAAGGCCCGCCCACACTCATCGCACTCGTAGGGCTTCTCCCCTGTGTGGGTTCGCTGGTGCTCGATAAGGATGGAATTCTGGGTGAAGCTCTTCCCACATTCACCACAGATATACGGTCTCTCCACAGAAGAGCTTGCCCGCTGCCTTTCCAATCTGCCCTCATGGTCACAGGTGTCTGCACATTCAGGCATCCGAGCAGTATCACCATTCAGTTTTTGAGGTACTTCCACAAGAGATCTCATTTCTTTAGAAAGCTCCCTCTTTGGGGCTAACTCCACATTCCAAGTCCCAGCCTCATCACCTGAAATAATAAGTGGATCATGTGAAAGTTAGGTTTCCAAAGGAAAAAGGGAAAAACCAGCCGGGAGAGTGAGTGGCAGGGGACGAATAAGCACGGTTTCTGTTTACGTTCACTTTGCCCTCAGGAAGCAGACAGGCTAAACCGCACTGCTCCTGTGCTGTCTGCCTCTTCCGTCAGACCACAGACCTTCTGAGGGCAGGGAGCACGTCCACCTTGCTTGTCACAGTCTCCCCAGGACCAAGCACACCGCCTGGTGCACAGCAGACACTGAACACACGTGCTGAGCTGATGGACACAGCAGACACTGAACACATGTGCTGAGCGGATGGACACAGCAGACACTCAACACACGTGCTGAGCGGATGGACACAGCAGACACTCAACACACGTGCTGAGCTGAGGAAGCTCTGATCCTCACCGATCTCCTGAACCGGGCACAGCTCTCGCGAATTGCCGGGATGCAGCTCTTCCAAGGGCTGGAGCTGGCCACCTGACAGCTCCTGGGCTGCTTCCCGAGTTGCCTCCTCCTTCGCAAACTCTCCCTGTTCACAAGCGTAGGTTGGGACCTGGTGGAAGTTAAGGACAGTAAGGAATCAAACGTCAGAGACACCTTGTAAGGGGGCCTTCCCAGGTCCACCATGTAGGAAAAGAAGAACCAAGGAACCAGCAACAAGAAGAGGCAGAGAGATGGAGGGCCCCCAACAGGCCTCGTGAGGCACAAAGAAAGCCTTCTCCTCTTCATTTGCCCTGAAACCCCACCCTTGCTCCTGCAGGTGTGAACCTCTGTCCTCCCCTCTCCCACCTGCTCTCCCGGCTCGTCCAGTTCGCTCTCCAGGTCCTCCAGCGCAGTCACCGCCTGCTCCCCGCTCTCCGGGTGCTGCTCCTGCACCCAGGCCTGCAGCTCCTCAGGCAGGATGGTCAGGAACTGCTCCAGCACCAGCAGCTCCACGATCTGCTCCTTGCTGTGCGTCTCTGGCCGCAGCCACTGACGGCACAGCTCCCGGAGCCGGCTCAGCGCCTCGCGGGGCCCAGGAGTCTCCTGGTAGCAGAACTGCCGGAAGCGTCTACGAAAGAGCTCTCTGGTATGAGGGTTCTCTCTCGACAGGCCGGATTCCTGCCCAGAGGCATAACCGCCCTCCTCTTCTACCTTTACTGCCAGAAGTCCTTCCTGCCTCTCTGAAGTCTGAAGGGCCAAGGCTGTGGCCATCTTAGGCTTAACGCTTCAGAAAGAGTCTATTCTCAATGATTCCTCTTTGATCTTTTCTTCTAGAAATCCCAAAATCTAAAAAATAATTGCAGAGAAAAAAGATTAAAATGTTGAAAATCTTTTCTGCTGGCAGGCACGGGGAGTATCTGTAACAAAAGCAGTCACTGTCTAGTGAAGAACACTGAATGCATGAGTAATGGTAAGGACTACGCATTTTTTTTCCATTATGTTACCAACAGAATGGGAGAAGATATTTGCAAATGACATATCACATAAAGGGCTAGTATCCAAAATCTATAAAGAACTCATCAAACTCAACACCCAAGGACTAGCAAATTCTGATGCAGGTGATACTGGAAGGCAAACAGAAACAGAATACCTCCCCTCCCCCAACTGGGTCCCAAAACACACACACACACACACACACACACACACACAGTTTTATCAAAGGAAGGGACCATTTTGATCATCCTGAATGAATTGTCTCAAATAAATCAGCTGGAACATATAGGGTTTCCATTTGAATGGCAAGATAGGAGACCCAGAGTAAGTTTTCAATTGAATGGAGGTAAACCAGCATTTTGGTGCCAAGTGGCTGCAGAGGACACTAAGAAGAGGAGAAAAGGGAAACAAAATGGAGAAGGGAGAGAAAGGAAAGAAGATAATAGGAAAGAATGAGGAGCAAAGGAAATGCTCTTGGGGAAGAGAGGCCCAGTCCCCCCAGTCAGTGAGGCATGGAGGAGAGAGGGCTGTTTGGGGTGGGAGAGATCTGGGATAGAGACCTGGTCCTCCAGGCACAGCCTCTGCAGGCCTGTGTTTCTAGGTGGAGATAAAAGATAAAGATAAAATAAGATCATGGACAAAGAGCACAAGAGGCTGGGGCGCCTGGGTGGCTCAGTCGTTGAGCGTCTGCTCCGGTCATGGTCCCAGGGTCCTGGGATCGAGCCCCACACTGGGGTCCCTGCTCCGCGGGAAGCCTGCTTCTCCCTCTCCCATGCCCCCTGCTTGTGTTCCCTCTCTCACTGTGTCTGTCAAATAAATAAAATCTTTAAAAAAAAAAAAAGCACAAGAGGCTGGGAGCTTGGTAAATTCTCAAATCTTATAAATTACCACTATTGTTATTTTCCTTATAAATTTTATTGAAAGATTAAATGAATCCTAGTGATCAAAACACTATGGCAAAAGAATCAGAAAGCAGTCAACTGAACTGGTCTTGAATCAGAGATGTTAAAATGAAAGAAATATTGATTCTAGTATTTTAAAACAGAGGTAGACTTTGAGCTGTTTCTTGTCCTTTAATTTCTTGGAAATTGTTTATTTTTGAATCTCCTTGAGGATGGAGAGTGGGCAACTGTGCGTAAAATAAAATTAATGCTCATAAAGAGACAACTGTCTATGAGCACTTAAAGCTTACAATAAAATCTTAACCAGGATAGTAATTAATGAAAGCAATTTTCTTTGTAAGATCTATTTATTTACTTACTTACTTACTTATTTATTTGAGAGAGAGAGCACACAGAAGGAGAGGGAGAAGCCCGACTCGGGACTCAATCCCCAGGACTCCAGGATCATGACCTAAGCCGAAGGCAGACGCTTAACTTAACCAATTGAGCCATCCAGGTGCCCCACGAAAGCAATTTTCTGAAAGAATATTATGTAGCCTAGTGAGTTTGACCTGGACCCTCAGTAAGAAATATTTTATAATAAAAAAAAAAGAAACATTTTATATTGAGACCCAGAACACCCATATACATGTGCACATGAATGTTTGTTTGTTCATGAGATACACATGCACACAAGAAAATGAAATAATAATTTCACAAAACACTATGTATCCTGAATTATGTGACACATACTATTTCTTAAATCTTGTTTTTTTAAACCCCAAAACAAAACACCCTGGTCATAGCCCACCACATAGACTTCATGATCCACATGAGTCATGACCTAGAGCTTTAAAAAGTTTCCAAATTTAAGTAAAATGGTTATAATTCACTGTAAATTCACTGTAATTCACTGTAAATATAACCCAACACTATTCTTAGGTATTGGCATGCATTGCAAAATAAAAAAAAAAACAAAAAAAACTAAGGACAGTGTATTTAAGTTATTATTGAATACAGCTCACACTACAACTACAAGAAAAGTTAAATCCATATTGCCACTATTAGTTATACTTATTAAGGAGGGAAAAACTACTGGGGTGGGGAAGCATCCTTCTGTGTAATCTGCAAACATAATCCCCTCCACAAATTTCTAACACTTCTGACTTCATTGACATCTACAGTCACCACCCCAGGAAGAGTCAAGAGGGTTTTTCCCTCCAAAGACAGGATCCCTGAGCTCTTATTTTTCCCCCAACTTTTCTTGGTGCTGACTCACTATCACTTTGAGTTCCACATTATCTTTTTCTTTCAAAACTTCTCACATCACTCATTCATTTAGCAAATATTTATTCAGAGCCTATTATATTCCAGGTATTGTTCTAGGCACTAGAAATGGCCAACAAAACAAAGTCCCTACTTTGATGGAATTTACATTCTAATCACAATAGTAGTAACAGCTGACATTTATATTGCTTTTAAGGTACCAGGCATTGTACTAGATGTTTTACATATATTAACTCCCTGACTCCTTGAAACAACCGTAAGGTTTCGTTATTATCCACATATTGACAGATGAGAAAACCGAGACCCAAAGAGTTTGAGTCGCTTGCCCAAGGTCTCACATGCAGTTAGTGGTGAAGCTGCATTTCCAACCCAGCAGATCTACTTCAGAATTCACAGTCTCAACCACCACCCCACTATCTCTCCTGTGCGTGGGCAGGGAGGGAACAGGATGAAGGAAGGAGCCGATGGGCACAGACAGTAATGAAACAGATGTCAAACAGTGATAAATGCTATAGAGAGAGATAGAGGTAAAGGAGATGGGGAGCCGGGGGAAGAAAGGTCTCTGTATGGAGGACTCAGGGAACTTTACCTTGCTCATAAGGTAAAGTCTGAGCAGAACCCCGAGGGACGTGAGCAGCAGTCACGTGACTATCTGGAGAAGGACTGTTCCGTGCAAAGGGAAGGTTGAGTCCTTGGAGGTAGAAGCATGCCTGGATTCTTCCAGGAATGGCCAGTTGGACCACCGACGTGGCTACACAGAGAAACAAAAGGTACGGTCATGGGAGATAAAAGCAGGCTGGGAACAGACTGAGATGCCACCTTAAGGACTCTGCTCTGGTCTAAGACACATGGAAAGCCATCAGAGGTTTTCAGCACAGGGGTGACCAAATTTTACTTACATTTACTATAAAAGTATAAATGGCTGCTGTGACAACAGACTTTAGGAAAAGTGGAAGCAGGGAGAGAAGCTATCTAATAATCTAGGGAGCAATGAGGGGGCTTAAAGCATGGTCTGCAGAGTTTGTTCTAGGGTGTGGAAGTTCTGGGGTGCAAATATCAAATAGGTCAATGAAGAATATGTGCTCTCAATTAACTGAGCATGTGTTCAAAGAATTAAACACCTACTTCTGCCCTCTTGCTCTGTCAACTTTCTAGGCCCTGAAAAATGTCTTTTTCTTATTTGCTGCCCATCCACTTTGGTTTTAAGTCAAAGATTTTCTATTCACAGAAAATGCAGCTGAAGATTTCAGCTCTGCTCATAGAAAATCATTTCTGCTATATGGTGCTTCAAATCTTTACTCAGTTTCACTATGATCAAGCCTCTCTATTCTCTGTATAGTCTAGGCTCCCTTTTGCTTTCCTCTCTTGATTTTGCTTCTGTGGGGTGGCGTAAAATCCCACGGCCTCACACAGCACATCGTAGCTCCTCTTTCAACCCAGTGCCTCTAAAAGGCTTCCCAATTGTTTTACAACCCTGCCCTCCTGGTCACAAACAGTTTTTAATCTCTTTTAGGTTCACCATCCCATTGTACAGGTCCTCCTCAACTTACAATGGGGTTATGTCCTCATGAACCCATCAAAAGTTGAAAATATCACACGTTGAAAGTGCACCAAATACACCTAATCTACCAAACATCATAGCTTAGCCTCACCTACCTTAAATGTGCTCAAAACATTTATGTGAGCCTACAGTCGGGCAAAATCGTCTAACACACATCCTATTTCGTAATTAAGTGTTGAAAATCTCACGTACTTTAGTGAATATTGTACTGAAAGTGAGAAACAAAATGGTTGTATGTATATATCAGTTGTTTCTCGTAATTTTTTCTAGAGAAAAGATCAAAACTCAAAATTCGTAGTACTGAACACGAATCACTTTCCCATCATCATTAAGTTGAAAAATCATTCTTCATCGTTGGGGACCATCTGTACATGCCAGTATATAATTAGCATAATAATCTCTCGCACTTAAAAAGAACACATCTGCATTTTAAAGCTGGTTTCTCCTAGAGCCGCAGCAAGCTCCACGCTCCCAGATCTACGATGACTCTCAGGGCGAAGTGCTCTTTACCAAGGATAGGCATGTAGGTGAAGACCAAGCAGCAGCAATACAAATGTGTCTTTATCGTACTGCATCCCCACGCTCTCCCCTCTGATGTCACCATTTAAGGCCCCCCACTACTTACTGGATGCACGCCCACATTCCCAAGCCTGGCTCAAGACTAGGCACATGTCTAGCCTCACTTGTGGGGCCGCACTCTTGTTTTCCTCTATTCCACATGCAAACACTGCCAGCCCCACTGAGGCTTTTCTTCTCACTATTCTTTCGTCAGGCTTTCCTCACCCCTGGTCTATGCCCATGGTCTTCCCTTTGCATTTACCCAAACCCTACCCAATTTCTGCACCTTGACTTGAATCTCACATCCTCTGAGGTCTTCCTCACCCATTCCATCCACCCTCTTCCTCTTCCAGCTCTTAGATCATGAGCCCCACCTTTCACCCTCAGTCACAATCTATCCTGCGGTTACTTCTCATGGTAAAAAAAAAAATCCAAAACATACAGAATAAAGAATTCCTTCATCAGAAGTAGACACAACAATTAGAATGGAT